CTCAAGGCTGAGGGGCCGTCTGCACCCTTAACACTGGGTGATGCAATACACAATATTACTGTGGGTAAACTCAGCTGGGCTCCTACGCCTGCATTTTCTGTGTTGCTTTGCCCTTCTGGCTGACCGTTGTCCAGCAGATCAAGCACGATGCTTTAGTATTAACTTTCAAGGTCTTACACAGCTTGTTCTTTAGGAGCTTGTTGAACTTTTGACACTGTACATCCATGTTACCCCACAAGATCAAAAAGAGGAGACTGTCGGTCCAAGTGTAGTATTTGCTCAAGCTTGCTGTAATCCCGGACTTACAGACTGACCTTCCCAAGAGCCTCGGAAGCACCACAGCCTCCTTGTAAGACCGGCTCCAAAGATGCACCCGTTATCTAGGTCATGTTTATAGGGCACTCCATCCCTTAACATTCCCGGAGACCTTTATGAAACCGAGTGTTTACAGACACAGCATTAATTTCTAAAACCTCATTCTGTTTTCAGCCCCCTTTCCCGAATACCACGACTGGGGCTGAAATTCTCCAGGCTGCTAGCGCCACAGAGCAGCAGATCAAACTCTGCAGCAGACAGATTAAATCCTGGCTCCACTACAGGGGACGGCAAGGTGCCCGCTGACCTCAGCGCAGCCAGTTTCACCCAGAAACGATATTCAGCGTTAATGTTTGTTGAAGCTTTTTTTGTTTTTTTAATTACTCTAGTGCACAGAAACACACCCTGTCCTAAAAGACTACTTTGTAAACAGTTAGCTGTAGCATTTCTTAATATTGTAAAACTGAAGTTAGTGCTGAAAGGCGTAATTCTCCCTGAAGGGATCCCCTGCGTGCCTTCAACCACACTGGCAGGCTCCGCTGGTGTTCTCCTCCTCCCTCAAACACAACATGCAGCTTCACTGGATGCTACAGAATTGCTCTAGATTTATGCTGGTGTAGCTGAAAGGAAGATCAAACTGAGTATTCAATTACTTATGCACTCAAAGATATTTATTCCCTGAGATGAAACTCCTAAATCTGTTGTTATTGCCATTCCCTCTTCTATTACTATTAGCGTGCTGCAGCTTTCAGATCTATGGAGATGTCAGCACCATTTACTGGAAACAACAACTGAAAGATGAGAACATGACAGGGAAATGTTTAGAATTATTAATCATCCGCAAGGAACAGAGGAGATAGAAGATCTTCCTTAATTCTAGAAGAGTCTATAATAGTTACATGTGGATTCTTCCTCAGACTTTTTTTTCCAAGATCAGTTTCTTTCATAGGTTATTTTTCTTTTAACCCAGATGCTACAGTGATTTAATAACTGAGTGAGGTGAAGAGCAACAGCTACCACACCACGGGATGGACCCCAGCGAGGAAAGGTGCTCTTGCAGCAGTGAACACAGGCGTTTCTGAAAATGCCAGGAGAGGTGGGACAGGACCCCCCTGTCAGCAAAGTCTGTGTAAAGGGAAATGCAATGCTGAAAAGCAAAACTCATCTTGCTTCACAGCATCTCATATTTTCCTGCTTATGCTGACCCCCTCCTGTTGTTATACACGGCATCTGGGAAAGCCAGGCACTTGCACACATGACTGTAGTTTATAATGATAGCTCTGCAGCAATAAGATTTCATTAAAGTCTCTGTTTAAAGATGGGAAGAACAATGATGAAAACCACAGTTTTATACTGTAAAGGCTTCTTCCCTCATCAGGATCACTGACAGCAGTTCCCATGCTGTAGTCTCCTCTGTATCTTCATCCAGGTGACAAGGGCCCTAGCTCAGGGAATGTGGAAAATGAAAAGCCAGAAATGTCAGCCAGTCTGAGACACGTCTAATGCTTGGTGCTCAGTTTCAGAAATCCAATTTTCACAGGGCCCAAACAGCCACCCTGTGGAAACGAGCCATCTGACAGCCCCCACCGCCTGAATCTCGCTTCAGTCTCCCGCTCAGACTCCGTCAGCCCTTTCCAGCACCCGACATGAAACCACCAGAGCCAAACAGCGGCCAGAGGATACACATTTATTGTTTCAGTGGGAAAGAGGTGCTCTGTAGAGCTGCTGATTTGATACCCCTGGAAGTGAGCCTTGCTGTCCACCTGCAGCAGGGACCGTAGCCCAAAGAGCCCCATGAAGCCTCCTCGCTGCCCGGCTGGTCAACTCCAGCCAGACCTGAACAGGATCTTTCTGCAGGCAGCGAAGCAGCTCCTCCCTCACGCCTCTCTGGTCGTGCCCACCCTGAAGCCAAGCGTGTCAGCCAGCCTGGTGGGTCGGCGGCATCGGGACCTGCCCCCCCGG